TCATACAACGAGCTGAAAATGTTAAAGACTTGGTCAAAGTTAAATATCAATCTCGGCATGGGAATAGTGAAACATATAATACGTACATTGAATACAGTAACCATGCGCCAAATCCGATTTCTGGGTGCTCAGTTTTCGGACTACGAAAATTCATCAGACGAAGATGGTGATAAAATACTCTATGAGATAGCCTCATAGAAGAGAGACTGTAATCTTGATTAAACTAAAATCTATATTACAAATAAAAAAACTTATTCCTACTCATTTCAGCCCCCCTGTATTATACGAACGACGAAGATACACGACTACTGCAATTCATATATTATAATCCATTTTCCAGACACTGGTATCATCAGTGAAGATCTTTTGAGTAGCTCAGTTTGTAGAGAATTTCACGGGCTATCCAACAGTATATTTCTCAAAAATGTATATTTTTTCATTATGACAGAAAAAATTACTAAAGGAGTACTTTAGAGCTGTTTCTGCCCTCGAATGCTTGTTTTGTATGTCCTTGTTGACTGTCCCACCAGTGAAGACCTCTTGAGTAGCTCAGTTTGTAGAGAATTTCACGGGCTATCTAACGCTGTGTTTAGTTTGCCATTTCAGTGTAAGGTAGTTGAGGAAAATCTGTTGTACTGATCATATGGTGGCTTTTTAACGGTGCTTATTGAGATGCTATTGTTCAGGAATTAAACGGATTTTACGTGACAAAAGTATATGATTTTACCGAAAACGGAATAGAGGCACTTTTTTACTACATATGGATCCATTTTTAGTCAAAAAGAGAGTGGGCCGATTCCCGATCTTATGCGGCCCCCTCCTTTCTCGTTGTTTCTTCCATTATTCGCAAAGTTTATGGAGACGCATACAGACAGGTGGTTTAACGTCATATTTAAAAGTTGGTGATCCGAAATGTACAGAAAGTTCAATTAATGGATTTCGTGGTGCAACTGGCTTAGCACTGATACCATTACATATTGTTGGTGAAACATGGGCTAATATTGTGTCAGAATATACATCAGATCCAACAGCCACAACATTCAATGATTATTTAACAGATACATATGTTGATGATAACGCTGGATCTGCTCAGCGCGCGCGTTGAAGATGACCCCGGCTCTGCGCTACACAGCGTGCAAAGCGCGACGTATGCGAGTAGGTAATACCTGGGTAATAGGTTTGAATAGGGGTGAGGGCAGCCTTTGTTCTTCATGAAAAATACATTTTTTCGTTTAGAAATGTTTGCTGTACAAGACTGATACACCCAAAAAATTATATCGGCGATATTTGAAACGATGTTTAAAAAATTTTGAAAATTTGAATGTCTGACGTCATTTTAGGAGAAACTTTGAAATTTTGATATCTCCTCAACGGTAAGTCTGTTTGCGTGATGTCTCAAATTGTATAGAACCGTCGGAACTGTCATCAATGGGAGCCAGATCGAAATCGACGCTTTGGACAAAAAAGAGGGGGAGGGGTATCCGCAAAATATAAAAACTAAATCGTCAAGACATAACCCCTAGAACGGAGTGCCGTAAGTGGCGCTCCGCAGGGGCGCCGACGAACAACGCATAGTTCGGGACCATACACCATTGATATATATTTTTAAGATTATCCAGGCTTGTTAGCGATACTCTTTGCACAACGCATAAAATATATTCGAAGATAAAAGAAACTGTAATTGTTGACATAGACTTCAGAAGCCTGTTGAGAATTTCAAGCATCACTTGATAACCGAAGTGAAGTTCACGTCGCCTTCCGGTCGGTGTCAGCGAGCTAGCGAGTGTTACTTTTGCTGTAGTTGGCTGGAGATCGATGACAAATGGAAAAAGAAGAGGAGGAAAAAGGATACCACAGACCAGCAATCAATAAGTGAGAAAATTGACAAACTGGTATGCAGACTCATTCGACTTAGGATAGCACTACAACAAGCCGTTTCGCATGAGCCGTTGTGAAGAACTGGGTAAGTGTAAGTTGCCTTTTAGTCACAGCTCTTCTCTGGAAAAGATGGTTAGGGTCAAATAGTCTCTCCAGTATAGAAAATCATTTTAGCTCTAGAATTAGCTCATCCATGTGCTTTCAACCGTCATTTCTGGTTAAAACGAGGGATTATTGTAATGTCCATCATTCTTTCTTGATTACAACCAAAATATAAAAAAGCGGTTATGTGATTTCACCGTCGTTTACGCAAGTCATGTTCTAGCCTCGCAGCTTGCTCTTCATAGGCGCGCGAATCTTCACCACATGCTCGTTTAATTTCAATCAGTCGCAGCAGACAACCAATGGCTGCGCCCATTGGCCACGTTGTTCATAAATCTGGAACATACCTCTCAGGCCGAATTGAATTTCGATTGATTGTGGCGAGAAATTGGGAGCATCGACAATGTTGGTGAAGAACTGAAGTGCAACGTCGAGTTCTCCGCGTTTCATGAACAGTTGGGCGACGAGAACATAAGCGACGAAGAGATAATGTGCATGTCGAACAGGATCGGGATCAGTCGCGGCAATGACCTTCATGTAGGAATCAAGCGCTTTCTCATCATTACCAAGTTTTTCGGCTACCTGCCCATGATTGAGCAATACATTCCTTCGCAAAGGAGATTCTGTGCCCAAACCGGATGAATCAAAGCGATGTAAGATTTCTTCGTACTCGGCCATTGCGCCCGCGCTGTCGCCTTGCTTTCTCTGTATGGAGGCTCTTGTATATTTGAAACCCATGAACAGCGGATGCTCCGGTGAAAAAACCTGTTGACACGATGCCTCTGCCCTTTCAATTTGAGACAAAAGTTGTGTTGGTTCGACTTGATCTCCGGGGTTTGAAAGAAATTGCGAGCACATGAGTGTCAGGAATTCGGACGCGCTGGCTGCTACATTTATCATTGGCGCAACATCAGCAGGCAATATGACTGCTAGATCTTTCACCGAATTGCTTACTTGGCTGAACGAGGCAATGGCTCGACGAACTTCATCAACGTCACTGGACCGAACTGGTTCGATGGTACGTGTCAGGTTGTTTGCGACTCGAATCATAGAACTTGTAGCGTCCGACGTCTATCTAACAACGTTCGAACGCAAGTCCTGTTCGTTGCTCAAAGGTCGACTCAGTTCCAACAACATGAGTGCCTTTTCATGCTCACCCATCGTCAGAAGCATGGTTACGAGAACGGTCATCCACGAATCTTGATCCATAAATTGATTGTACTACGCGTATGGACTTGAGAATACACTTTTCATATGAGTGAGGCGTGGATGATTGTAGACGCAGAGAGACATGCGAACGCACCAATGTGTACCCTTATCTTCTACCGACACAATGTTCAGTACACTGCCCATACATAGAAGCACCTCTCAGGCTTCGTGCTAATACGAGAAATGTCAGCGTAGTCCGGCAGGCGTTCATCATTGACTGTATTTATCTCAATTTCGTATACAACGGAGTCCAGTAGTGGCCGTCCTTCCCCTAGGCCAGACATTACCATGGCAAATTGTCGATCCAACGTTGTCGACACAAAAGAATTCATAGAAACAAGCATGCCAATGTTCGATCTCAATGTGGTCAGCTCGTGAGGATCGATCAGCTGTCCACGGTAGACAGTGAGAATACGCCCTATAGCGGTTAAGAAGAATACAACATTAAAAGTCACAATCGTAGCTCGATCATCCATTAGCCAGAGTGGATAATCGATCATTTTCAACCTCAAATGTCAAGCACTCTTTGCGTATACAAAAGTAGACTCTTTTGTACAGTCTTGGTCACTGCGTTTTAGAAAGGATTATCGAAAACCCTCAACGAAGGGTCTTCATCAGGCGTAAAGCATAGTTTTTCTCCTCGCCGACACATTTCCAAGGAAGTTTGAAATAACAGATCGAAGAGCAAGTAGAAAGCTTTCAAAAATTGCATCTGCATAGTCGCAGAGAGGTTTCTCCCAACATTAGATTTACTGAAAAGCGGCTTTGGTGTTAGAATCCCGGTAATTTTGACCAATGGAAAAATCCTATCTTTTTAATGAACGTTTTGTATTTACTTTTTCAAGCATCTAAAGACTAAAACCAAAATGTTACGAGTATTTGTGGAAAAGTCTCAGCCCGGTCATATGAGTTTTCGAGTTTGCGATTCCGAAACTTTGTGTCATTGTTAGCACTTTTCTGATCGCCAGATCTCCTAGATGTACGTATCCGACAGTTTTCTGTCTTTTGCAACTTTCATCTACTAGTCGAGATCTATTCACATTGGAAGCTTTTTAACAATCAGTTCCGCCGTTGCTCATAAACGTCTTAAAGTAGGTACCTTTAACAATGCTTTTCATGTTGATGCATAAAAATGCGTGTTTATTCTGAAGAAAAGCGCTTTCGGAGTCAAAAACAGTTTCCAGTTCAAGTACTATTGTAGGTGTTTTACTAAAAATAACACTTCAGAAGTGGCCCAAAACTATTTGGCTGTTTTGACAGAGCAAACAATGGAGAAGATTCTAAGCAGCTCGACAAGGAAACGTTTTACATTGCTAACACTCAGTAAGATTTTTGCCGCTAAAACTGGTTTTTCAGTCGGTGTATTGGGAGAACCGGTTTTACTACTCTCAGAAAACCTATTCTACGATCTCATGGTAATCCTTACCGCTTCGCGGACGTTAACTGTTACCGACTTCTTTCAGCTGTTGATAGACATCTTGAATAATGTATCGGAACTTGTAAATAAGAAAAATGTTGACGGTGCGTAAAGCTTTGTTGAGCACACGATAGTAAAACGAATCTCTAGTGTACCACTGGATGGCTCGTTTCTCAGTGTAGTTAGTCATGAAATCGCCGATCTTTTCATTTTCAAGAACGTTCCCCCGATACAGGTGACGACACTCGTCCAATGCATCTCTGTACTTGTCCGCAGGTGGCCGACACATTTTGAGAACGACATCGAGCAACATTTGAGACCACAAAAAGCGAGCTTCTTGAGAACGAATTACTTGTGCTGTCGAATCTTCACGTTCCGGACAATAGCTAAGATGTGTATGCGCCCGCTGGAACCCATCGATGTCTTTGACCAGTTGTATTAACAGCTCACCTACATCCGAAAATGTCCCACGCTTGATACCTCCTGAGAATGAGGTTCTGCCCACCTCGCGCACTTCATGCAAGTAAATGCAACGGACCCAGTTCATGTCCCGAAACTGGGACGCGATAGAAGCATGGCTAGCTTCGAGAATGACAAAAACCTGCCATTCGCGAAGTATCGAGATGATTTCAATGCATTCATTCTCATCGGTGAACATACGAATATCATTTACATTAGTCGCTGCCTGTAGAATATCGAGGTCAATGCATGGTTGGATTTCGTTGTGAGCAAGCAGCCATATGATGACCCTGTCGTCTTCTGCCATCCTGTGTTGTCTGCTTATTCACCTGAGTTGAACCAGGATCATAGGTATGTTGAACGAATCTTGAAAAAAATCTCTGCAAATCCCAAGAAAACTCCCACAGTCAACTATACGGGAGTCTGCCTGACTCATCAGAACATCATTCAGTTCAGTTCAGTTTATTCTGGCATAGCCATGGCCCACACGAAAAAAAACATTGCTAGTGCAAAAGTTTGTAACAAAATAAAAACGTTTGATAAAGAATCTAGGCAGATAACTTTGTCAACATGTCCATATCATTAAGAGAGCGTCCGTCAGAAAACCGACCTGCACAGGGAATAGTGGCCGGAGCTAAAATTTTCTTTTGTTCTTAGTATTCTAGTTCGGGAGAGCTCATCGAGAAACTAAGAAATCCAAGATATCTCGTCTTTGGATGGCACTGTTCATGAATTGGGTGGACTTAACTTTTTAGTCATCATCGGAAGCTCCATTTTGGGATGAAATCAATGTTTCTTTAATATCTCAGAAACAGCTTGATCGTTGCAGAAAGATACAGTGAAAGGCAGCACCCTGGGCGTCCGCAAGACAAAATCTAGAAAAACGGGTTTTTCTAAACCTGCTTTTTCTCAGTATTTTGGACCGGGAAATCACTAGTCCGGCTTGACCAAAAAATAAATTCTGTTGTTTTGTTCAGTTGATAATTCTTCATCGATTGATATATAAAAGAAAACTTTGAATCACTAGGAGCATGTTTTTTTGAGATGTGCAAGTAGGGGAGAGGTATTGTGCATTTTTGGAGACCATTTTCAATAATTCCCCGATTCTGCATTTTTTGCTCGATTCTTTGACATGCATCGATGTCAAATTCATAATCTGCGTATGATTCCCCGTATGAAGCTGACTCTGGAAATATATTTAGAGCTTGATTCAATATCATATGGCCAAAACAAAAAATTCATAATCAACTAATTTTGCAACAAATTTTGCAAACCTATCTAGTTTTTTCTGCTAAGAGACGGAGCCCTGAGCTACACTGCATTCGATTCGTTTTACACGGGCAAAAAACGTATGGAGAGCTCTTTCTAAAATTCCTTTCCATTGCTGAGAAAACTCATTTTTTCTGAATAAGATGCGACAAATCCGCAATTGTGCCCGTAATTCTCAACTTTCTTTATGAGAGCTCAGCGTGAATTGATGGCATCTGGTTGGGGAGGTTTGGACATCGTTCGGCGT